GTGAATTCCAATTATATCCATTTTTAAGGGAGGAAAACTTAGGGCTTGTTCTCTTTGACGTTATCAAGACGTTTTCTGTTTTCGATTTTTCAAAATAGAGAAAACGCGGTCTCTTCCCCATTTTCAAAAACGAGTTTTTGAAGATGAAAAAAAAAAATTTACACACAAAACTAAAAACGTCCAAAAGCTCGTTTTCATCATTTTGAAGCCAAAACACGCTAGTTTTCACAAAACGCGAGAAATGAATTCTCAGACTTATCCTCTCTCTCCCGTAACACATGGCTTCCTCTAGTTTTCCTCTTCCAATCTCACAACCCATGACAATTTCTTCCTTCTCGTGTTGCCAAATCTGCGGGTTCTCTACTGGCTCTTTCAATCAGGTTTTCCTACTCTCACTATCCCCTCTTATTAATCAATCTGCTGTTTTCTTTTTACATATTTATTTTCGAAAATAGGAAAACCCAGTAGAGATTTCTCGAATCTAGGGTGTAGTCAAGTGAAGCTTCTGCACCGATTTTCTGGTCAATGGAATTGTTGTGAAAAAAAAGGGCATATGTTGTTGGTGAAATTCTAGACGGATAGATTATTGGAGGCAAATATAGCATTTGATGGGGAATAATTGCGTAGGCCCCAATGTGGGAAAACATGGCTTCTTGCTGTCTATCACCGCTGCAATCTGGATTATCTCAGGAGCTGGAAACGCTCCCGGCACCCAATCAACAGCAAGAAGGAAATAGTAGTAACGAGAAGAATTTAGAGGGTAAAGGTTCTGGTTCTACCACCGCGCCTACACAGCCAATAATTGCTCGTGAGCATGCCAAACCAAATCCCCAATAGGAGGCAGGGCAAGGTAACAAACTAAATCACTTGCGTTTGATTGCAAAGGTGGAAAATGGGTGGAAAGAAAATGTTTTACAGGGAAAAGATTTGCCTAGAAATGTTTTGTAGGGAAAATGATTTCAAGTGTGTTTGATTGGTATAATTTTCCACCTGAAAATTTTTTAAAATTTTCTATTCGTTTGGCTTTGTTTTACATGAAAATTGTCCATTAAAGTGATATTTTTTTCCACAATTGGTTATAAAATTTGTTTCCATTGCCAAAAAGTAAAAAAAAAGGAAAAAAAAAATTGT